TTTTTTTAAAGAGACCCATCACTCTGTACGACAACGCAGCACTACCAGTGCACCAGTTACCTGGAGTTTACTGGAGACAGTTCGGGGGTCAACGCCCCGCGGCCTGGTCTGTGACCAGGCCGCTGGTGGATCAGAGCCTGATCAACCAGGCTGTTGCTGCTGGCTGCATGCAAACCAACATACGAGCCACAGCCCGGCTGATCGGGAAACTGACTTTAGGTGCTTGTCCAGTGCCAGCTTGAAGACTGCCAGGGGTCTGTTGGTAATCCCCCTTATGTGTGCTGGGAGGCAGTTGAACAGTCTCGAGCCCCCTGACACTTATTGTATGGTCTCTTAACGTGCTAGTGACACCCCTGCTTTTCATTGGGGGGATGGTGCATCGTCTGCCAAGTCTTTTGCTTTTGTAGTGAGTGATTTTCGTGTGCAAGTTCGGTACTAGTCCCTCTAGGATTTTCCAGGTGTATATAATCATGTATCTCTCCCTCCTGCATTCCAGGGAATACAGGTTTAGGAACCTCAAGCGCTCCCAGTAATTGAGGTGTTTTATCTCCGTTATGCGCGCCGTGAAAGTTCTCTGTACATTTTCTAGGTCGGCAATTTCACCTGCCTTGAAAGGTGCTGTTAGTGTGCAGCAATATTCCAGTCTAGATAGAACAAGTGACCTGAAGAGTGTCATCATGGGCTTGGCCTCCCTAGTTTTGAAGGTTCTCATTATCCATCCTGTCATTTTTCTAGCAGATGCGATTGATACAATGTTATGGTCCTTGAAGGTGAGATCCTCCGACATGATCACTCCCAGGTCTTTGACGTTGGTGTTTCGCTCTATTTTGTGGCCAGAATTTGTTTTGTATTCTGATGAAGATTTAATTTCCTCGTGTTTACCATATCTCCTGCTCAGCTGTTCCTTGGGCTTATATGGTGGTCCAAGCACACCCCACAACCACGTGTACGACCTGACGCCTGGATTTGATGCCAGTGACGAACAAAGGTGCTGAGACTTAAGCCGGAAAGGCGTGTCTCTGACAGACATTTGCCAAGGCAAGATGACCATATACAGTGGACCCCCGCTTAACGATCACCTCCAAATGCGACCAATTATGTAAGTGTATTTATGTAAGTGCTATTGTACGTGTATGTTTGGGGGTCTGAAATGGACTAATCTACTTCACAATATTCCTTATGGGAAAAAATTCGGTCAGTACTGGCACCTGAACATACTACTGGAATGAAAAAAGTTCGTTAACCGGGGGTCCACTGTAATTGGTTAAATTAGGTCTCCCCAGAGACCTCACAAGCCCAGCTGAACTACATCACACCCCTCCATGAGGACTTCAGGTAAAGCCCTCTCTGAGGTTACTTCCCTTCTCTGTCTTTTAATGCCACTAGGACCAGCTTGAGTCACTGGACCCCTGTCTCACAAAATAACTGTCCACAGTCCTCTGTTTCTGGCACCTCTTTAACATTTCCCTAAAATGGGACATGGTTCTGTCACTGAACTTGTTGCAAAGATGGCTTGTTTCAGCTTGCTCAGGGTGGTACTTCTGCACAAACATTTGGACATCATTCCACTTGGCACAAATCTCCTTAATCTTTGAAGAAGACACCTCATCCACTCCCTATATTAACACCTTTCACAACATCAGCTTCCTTGATTTGTTCTTTCTTTGACAGGATAGAACCGATGGTCAACTTGTTTTTCCCATACATCCTGGCAAGCTCAACAAGTCTCGCACCACTTTCATACTTCTGTATTATTTCCTTCTTCACATCTATGGTGTTTCTCACTTTCTTTACCACAGGGGTACCACTAGCAAGTTTCTTTGGGCCCATGGCAGCTTATTTCACAGTCCCACAAGCACTAAACACAACGAAATAATCGTAAAATGCGTGAATGAGAGTGAAGGTTAGTGTTCACTCAAGCATAAGCAAAGCTAGACTGCTCACGGCGCCTGTGCGGGGACGCGGACAGAGTGGGCGGGAGACAGGTCCCGTACCCGGCAGTCCGAAAATAGGGGTGCGTTCGATAATAGGGACACAGTTTGTCCGAAAAATGGTCCTATTTTCGAAACGCTCGATATGTGATACGTTCGATTTTTGAGGTTCCACTGTACTTAATCACACAATCAGTTTTAATGTTTCCACAACTCAAGTCATGACTGAGGAAACAGCCTATAACTAGGTACATAGTTTTAATATCTTTTATGTGCCCCATACCCATCTTGTGCATGGTAGTCAAAAGATCAGAGGCACATAATGGGTCCAGGTACTGGACCACAAAGTCTGATAGCTGACCAAGTTAGTGGTAATGAACTACACTTACCATCCGACTTAAGACCTGCTCAACTTACGACCACTCGACTTACGACCGTGTTTTATGCCAAATTTCTGGGAAATAAACAACTATTTGTGTTGCACACAGTGTTTATCCTAAACCTTACAGTATAAAATACAGTACTAACAGCATAAAAAGTAAAGTAAAACATGAAATACCAAAATAAAACAATAAAATAGTCATTACAAAAATGTTATGCTGATATTCAGTAGTAAAGTTCGACTTACGACCATTTCGACTTATGACCGGTTTCTCGGAACCGAACTTGGTCGTAAGTCGGAAGGTAGGTGTACTTACATGCTTACATCTGGTCACAATAATAATTGAGTTAGTTATGCTAACACAAATTAGGTCACACACGCTAAAGAAAGGGGTAATGCTTTATTTACAATGAGTAAAGTCAAGGTATTTTTCCAGAATGGTTGGTTTGTAATATACCTACAACTACTGTTATTAATTCAGCATACAGTAGCAATAAACTATTTAAAAGTAACACTTGCTTACTTAATAATAATAATGGAGCCCTGTACCTGAGGCAGTTATGTATACCTCATTTTACTGTTGTCCACAAGATGGATATGGGCAGAGGTGGATAATAAACTTATCGTACCAACTTAAGGATATAAAAGACATGGCTAGCACACATTACAAAGAAAAACAAAATTGTGCAGTAATAGTTTCATTTGTATTGTAAGTTTGAAATGTTTTATATTTTAAAACAAAATAACTATAAAATTGTTTTTACCATTTGGAGAGTCTAGATAAGCATACAGAAAAATTACAAAACATGAAATTACATTGGACCCCCACATAACGATTACCTCCGAATGCGACCAATTATGTAAGTGTATTTATGTAAGTGTGTTTGTACGTGTATGTTTGGGGGTCTGAAATGGACTAATCTACTTCACAATATTTCTTATGGGAACAAATTCGGTCAGTACTGGCACCTGAATATACTTCTGGAGTGAAAAAATATCGTTAACCGGGGGTCCACTGTATATTATTTTTTAATATTTTCAGGTAATGGGTATCCAATGGCTGCAGTTGTAACATCTAGAGAAATTGCTGCTCTTCTGGGTGAACGAATTAAAGAGGTAAATGTATCGGCATGCATCTGTTGTAACACATGGATGATTAGAAGGTAGCTTCATTATAATTCAATGTCCTCTACCCTGATGGGGTTATTATAATTATGGAAAAGTGCTGAATTCACAGGGGTTCATACAGCACTATGGGAATGAGACTGAATGAAGGATAAATAGGGTTGATCTGAAAAAAGAGTGTAGCTCTAGTTTTTTTTTTTTTTTTTCTTCTCCCTTGAAGAGACCTTGGTAGGAAATGCCTAATCTAGTAAAAACGTAATTTTTAAAAATTTGTACAGACAGATTGCTTGAAGTATACATCCATACTATAATTATAGTCATAAAAGGCACTGAGTCATTCTGCACTGTACATATCTAGTACGTTTCAAGGTTTTTTCGTGGCCTATCCAAGGCAAAGTAATGATGCCAGAGTTTCTTGGTCATTATGATTTAGGTCAAGATTTGTGAAAACGGGCATTTTTTTTTATACAGTGACTCACGAAATTGTAATAACATAATTGCAAACAACTCCCCGTATGGGTGGGGCTCACTCATGGCTTCAAGCCCCACTCTATGACTTATATTATACAATATATATATATATATATATTTTTTTTCAAAAAGTCGGCCGTCTCCCACCGAGGCAGGGTGACCCAAAAAAGAAAGAAAATCCCCCCAAAAAAATGCTTTCATCATCATTCAACACTTTCACCACACTCACACATTATGACTGTTTTTGTAGAGGTGCTCAGAATACAACAGTTTAGAAGCATATACGTATAAAGATACACAACATATCCCTCCAAACTGCCAATATCCCAAACCCCTCCTTTAAAGTGCAGGCATTGTACTTCCCATTTCCAGGACTCAAGTCCGACTATATGAAAATAACCGGTTTCCCTGAATCCCTTCACTAAATATTACCCTGCTCACACTCCAACAGATCATCATATGTGTGGGTGGGTTGGCCTGGTATGGTAGCCCGGCTGACTACCATACATACCACACTTGATTTTTTACAATAAATACTACTCATCTCACCCTATATTTTAAGGTAAGTAATGAGTGAACTGTATATACATTTTATCGCTCTGGGATGCTTAAATATCATAGAATAGTATGTGTGGGTGGGGTGGCCTGGTAAGGTAGCCTGGCTGACTACCATACATACCACACTTGATTTCTTACAATAAATACTACTTGTCTCACCCTAGATTAAGACTATATAAATATTTTAAGGTAAGTAATGAGTGCACTATGTGTGTATTGTACTTTTTTATTGTTTTTTGATGCCTGGTTCTATTGCTAACTTAATATATGTTAGTGTAAACTTGTTATCTAGTGTTTGTATGCATTTATAAGTGGAAAAAAAGGGTGTTCCACTTTACGGCGGTAGCCTGGAACCTAACCTGCCGTATAAGTGGGGCCCTGCTGTATCACTTTTTCACTGATGGGAAGCACTTCATGGCTTGTCTTAGGCTTTGAACAACTGCCAGCATTCACTACTTTTGTGGCCATTATGAAACAAAATTAAGGGTTATTTATGGGCCACAGTAAACCGTGGAAACCAAATTCATGGTTAAGGGATTCTACAGTACAGTATATGAGAGGCATTTTATGTAAGCATAGTCTTACACATCTGATGATAATATGCAAGTTTATTTTTCTCTTAATTTAAGATATAATTAATTTTATCTTGTTCATTTTACCTCTAGTGAGGAACTGAAACGTGAAATTTGTCGATTTACAGCGAGAGTATGGCTTGGGTAGAGTGCTGGGCTTGCAGTAATGTACCAGAGTTCAATTGGGGTCATAGTGTCCGGGGAATGGGAACAGTCAAGTTTGGCCTAGGTAGAAGGTATCTCCATTTTCTTGGATCAAAAGCCTTCAGCATCAAGATACAGTGGATTTAGTCTTCATAATACATTTTGCAGTTCACATGAGGACCAAAGGAAAGTTTCAGATGCAGTCTTGCACTAGATATAAACTAACCCCCTCAACATTAGTTTACCTTCTTCCATACATACAGTGGACCCCGGTATTCGATGGCATCGGTATTCGATAAATCCGGTATTCGATGCATTATATCGCAAAAATTTTGCCTCGGTATCCGATCGAAAACCCAGTATTCAATGCGATTCATCGAGACTGTCCAGGTGGCCTGAATCCCCCATGTGTGCCAGTGTTTACAAGCCGCAGGTGCACGATCAAAGGATACATTCGGTAAATTCCCACATTATCACTGTTTTTGGTGCTTTTTCTGCAAAAAAGTCACCAGGGGCCCCCCAAGAAAGTTCGTGCCAACCCTTCGAGAAAAAAGGTGCTAATGACTATTAAATGAAGAAAGAGATAATTGAAAGTACGAAAGGGGGAGTGCGTGTGTTGGAGCTGGTCAGTTGTATAAAAACCCCAATCAACCATCTCTACTATGTGACCGGGAAAATGGCAATCAAGGAAGTGTTTTTGAAAAAAGGTGCAACTGTGATTACAAAACGGACCGCAAGTGTTAAAAAAATGTTGGACTTTTTTGGTGTGGATAAAGAAAAACAGATACCCGGAGATAGCATCTCTAAAGCGATCATTGTAAAAAGGTAGGGCGTTGCTGACGATTTGTAAAGAAATTCCCTGCAACAGTTGATGTGAGTGAATTTAAGGCCGCAAAGGTTGGTTTTTAAAAATTTTTTGAATCTAGTGGCATCATAGTGTATTAGGATGGTGAGCTGCCAGTTCGGACCAAAAACCAAAAATATGTGAAGAATTCAAGGATTACTAGACAGTGAAGACTTAAAACCTGACCCCGTGTTTAATTGCGACGAAAGGTGTTTTGGAAGAAAAATGCCCAAAACAGGACTACATTACTAGGGGAAAAGGGAACCCCGGGCATAAGCCCATGAAAACAGGCTTACTCTGTTGAGTGTGCCAAAGTAGTGGGATTGCAAAGTGAAGCCTTATGGTGTTCACTCTGAAAATCCCAGAGTGTTTAGGAAAAAAAATTTCCTCAAGGCAAAATTTGTGTGTGCTTGGGGGGCAAACAGTAAGGGTGGGGCATGGGGCTTTTTCTATGACTGGTTTCCCACATTTTCCCCCCGTGAAAAAACCCAATTTAAAAAAATTAGACCAATGCCCTGGTATTAGCAAAGCCCCCCGGGCATCTCAGTTGGCCCGGCAATTTTTGGGGGCAGAGCTTCATTAAGGGCAAGTTTTTTGCCTCCAATACCACTCCTCTCCTGCAGCCCATGGGCCAGCAGGGCTTTCCCAAATTCAAAACTACCAAAACTGCTTCAAAAATGCTTTTTTATGACCACAAACTAAACTGGCTCTAAAGAGTTTTGAAAGGATCACTTTAAATCCCAAATTTTATAAACCTTATAGGTATGGCTTGGGAGGGAGTGACTAAAAGGACCTGAATCTGCTTTGGAAAAAATGTGGCCCAAATGTGTTTAAAAAAAGGGATTTGAAAGGGTTTGAGGCTAACCTGAGAACCTATGCCATTGAGGAATCCATTGTGCATTGGGGAAGTCCTTTGGGGTTTGGGGGAAATTGTGGGGAGGATGTGGAAAGTTGGTGGGGGAGGGCAATAAAACAAACCACTGATGAGGTGCTAGATCACTCAACAGCAAAAGGGCCACCTTAGGAAAATGCTTGGAGGGGGGATAGAGAAATTTAAGAAGTGGGCCCACTTCAAAAATTAAAGGAAATGGTGCAATGGGCTTCAAATGCAAAATTTTTTGATGGACAATCACCCAACACAGCTTTGCAAGCGTGCTGGGGGATTTAAATGACAATGTTGTGAAACACTTTTTGGAAAAAGTCAAAAGGGAATGGGAGGTACAGGCCACTATGGACAGATATGTTGTGCAACAAAGTCCCGTGACTCAAGCTGGTCCTAGTGGATTAACCTTTGGCTGTCGAAAGGCCCCAAACCTGAATGTTCTGGGTCGCAAAATTTCGAAAAAAAAAAATTTTTTTTTCTTTGAGAATGTTAAGATTATTTTCTGATTGTTTTAGTCCCAAAAAAAATTTTTCCTATCAGTACTTACCCAGATATAGAGGCATGAAGTTTGCAGAAAATGAGCCGCGTATGGCAACAGCGGCGGCTGCCGCTCACCCGGTAAACTTTGGTTTACTTGTATTTGAAGGTTTGTTGTTTTTTCACTATTTTATTTTTTCACATAACTTATGTGGCTTATGAGACCAAAGTAAGGTGCAATGTACATATATACACTCGTTGTATACAACACAATAAGCACACAAACATAAATATCAATATATTGTTTACAAAACTTGTTTACAAAAACAAACAATACAAAAAAATTTTTATTACTGCTCTTTTCTGTATTTTTTGTACCTCTGTATATATGTAGCAATATACAGTCACTGAATATATTCCTAGAAGTTCTGCAGCTTGTGGAACTCTTTGAAACATGGTGTCATACACAGTGGTGTTTTACACTCACACATAAAACATGGTGTCATACACAGTGGTGTTTTACACTCCTCAAACATAAAACATGGTGTCATACACAGTGGTGTTTTACACTCTCACACATAAAACCAGTGTGTGTGTGCATTTTTGTGGAAGTTTTTTTTTTTATGTGCAAAGACAAAACACCTCGTCTGAGCAGTTTTCTTCAAAGTATTAGCAGGCAGTTGTGTTATGTAGTTATCCTAGGTAAATGGTCGTGTGTCATCATTCCTTCCTTCCTAATTTCCTTCATTCCTTTCCTACCTGGAGGCTACCTGGAGGGCATTCCACCTCTCTTCCTACATTCCTTCATCTGTCCTTCCTTACTTTTTTCCTTCCTTTCATCTAGTCCTTCCTTCATTCCTGCCTTCCCTTCTTGTTTCTGGTTTCTATAATATATATACACATATATAGTCACTAGATACTTTCATAAAACTGCTATTATCACCATTCAGCAAGCTTGTCTTGGGTGCAAGTGTGTGGCTTATAATTGTTTTGAGTCAGGAGTCGGCAGCTGTCAAAATGACATATTGTCTCATTACTCACTCCCCCTCCCGCCTGTCGAAACAATGGGGTCGGATGCTGCTTCCCCTCCATTCTATCTAATTATTTCTCCCTCATTTTATCTCTTTCACTCTGTCTCTCTCTCTTTCTATCTCTGTCTCACAGGTACACATAAATACAAGTATACATAGTGTAAATTACCTAGGATAACCCAAAAAATCCAGACGAAGTGCTATACTCTGCTTGAAGATGTGAGTAAACGTGATGATGACACAGTCTTGTGGCTCTCTCTGAGACAGAGCTAGACGGATAGACAGGGAGCTTGGCAGACAGACAAATAGACACAGACAAATGTTTGTTCGTCGTCGTCTTCTCCTCCTCCTCCTCCTTCTCCTCCTCCTTCTCCTCCTCCTCCTTCTCTTCCTCCTCCTTCTCCTTCTCCTTCTCCTCCTCCTTCTTCTCCTTCTCCTTCTTCTCCTTCTCCTCCTCCTTCTCCTTCTTCCCCTTCTCCTCCTCCTCCTTCTCCTCCTCCTCCTTCTCCTCCTCCTCCTTCTTCTCCTTCTCCTCCTTCTTCTCCTTCTCCTCCTCCTCCTCCTTCTCCTCCTCCTCCTCCTGGCTCTTAGACAGATAGACAGCTGCCCCCCTCCCTCCACCCTCATTTACGCTCATCAAAGGTCAGCTCTTATCAGATGTTATCTCCCCTTATCTTGTCACTGTCATGGGTTAGTTAGTTTAATATGTTTATTATGCACCCCATACCCATCCTGTGGGCGGTAGTCAAAAGATTACAGAGGTACATAATTGGTCCAGGGACTGGACTCCAAAGTTTTGATAGCTGAGCAAGTTACAGAGGTAATGAATTCACAATTTACAAAGGTAATGAACTCACAATTTACAAAGGTAATGAACTCACAATTTACAAAGGTAATGAACTCCAGGTAGGTCTAGTCACAATCATGACAAGTTACAAAGGTATTTACAGATTACAGAGGTACGTAATGGGTCCAGGGACTGGGCTCCCAAAGTTGTGATGGCTGAACTAGGTACAAGGTAATGAACTCACAAGTTACAAAGGTAATAAATCCTGTAAGAATGGTTACTTACGTTTATACATGGCTACAATCATGAACAAATTATAGTGTAATGAGCAATTCACACTTCCACACTCGGTCACAACTGTAGTGAGTTATTGGTGCAAATATTGATTGTTGAGACAGACACACACACACACACATACAAATTCATACACACACACACAAACACACACACACACACACACACACATACACAAACACACACACACACACACATACACAAACACACACACACACACACATACACAAACTCATACACACACACGCACACACTCATACACACACACACACACACACACACAGGAGCTTGGACTCGACCCCTGCAATCTCAACTAGGTGAGTGCACACACACACACACACACACACACACACACACACACACACACACACACACACACACACAACACACACACACACACATGCACACATGTGGTAATGCTTTATTTACAGCTAGCAAAGTCAGGGTATTTCTCCAGAATGGTCTGCAATATACCACTGTGGATAAAGTACTTTGCCATTTCTTGAACACTTCTGAGCGAGTTGTTTCTAAATTCATTAATTTTATCACACTCCAGTACATAATGACGCAGGGTGTGACAATAGTCCATCTGGCAAAGTTTACATTTCGTTTGGTCTACATCTGGTGGTGGTGATTTAACCTGCCAAAGATACTTGTAACCCAGCCGGAGCCGGGCAGTAGTGACATCCAAGAGTCTGCTTATTTTATTGGATGCACCATAGACATGTGGCTCCTCCTGCATGATAGAATAATGATAGATGGACTCACTGGTGTGGGGTGAACTGTTTTCATGCCTCAAGGGAACATATTATTACATATTATTATTATTAGGTATTATTATTATTATTCCTCTTCTTCCTCCTCCTCTTCTTCCTCCTCCTCCCTCCTCCCTCCTTCTCCCTCTTCCTCCCTCCTCCTCCTCCTCCCTCCTCCCTCCTCCTCCCTCCTCCTCCTTTCTTCTCCATCCTCCCTCCTTCCTCTTCCTCCTTCCTCCTCCTCTTCTTCCTCCTCCTCTTCTTCCTCCTCCTCCTCCTCCATTGCTTTTGGTCTCAAACTCCTCGAAATCATGAAATTGATCTTCACTGACACTTCCATCTGTGTTAGAGCATCACTTGGGAAGAGAAGAGTCCCAGATTTGCTGGTGAGTCACATATTTCTTACCGCTAGACATGCTGAAAAAGGACGACTGAAATGGTATTCCCACAATGCACCACTGGCTCCCCGATTTTTTTTTTATATGGTGCACACTGACCATGGAGACCCATTCTCTCACATGTGGGCCTACCAGCTTTCTCCTGCTTGATTTGAAGCCGCTAGAATTTATGCGTATAGATACGTGTTTTGGTATCTCCTATGACTTTTATATACGACCGCGACAGTCAAAGGGTTAAAAGAAGGGAAGTAACTCTGGAAAAGGACTTGCTACCTCAAGTCCTAATGGAAGGAGATTCCCCTTCAAACACTAACACCTCTCCCCTCCTCCCACCATTAATCATCACCAGACCTTCATTAAAGGTAAGTGTCAATTATTCTATTGTTATTGTTGTTATTGTAATTATTCTATTGCATTAAACTTAATATTTCATGTAAATTTTTGTTTTTTTTCATACTTTTGGGTGTCTTGCACGGATTAATTGATTTCCATTAATTTTTTATGAGGAAAATTGATTCGGTTTTTCGATATTTTCGGTATTCGATGAGCTCTCAGGAACGGATTAATATCGAATACCAGGGGTCCACTGTATAATTGTTTGTGTGTAATTTATGTGGATCCAAACTAGTATTCTGGCCCTGCACTTGAATGACTTTGGTATCTTGATTAAATCTGGTATGTGCAGGTGCCTCATGAAAGAAAAGTTGCCTTTATTGGTACATACTTCTTTACAGGGGGTGATTCAAGATACTGACTTGAACCATGATAGTTTTTGGTCAAGCATGGCTGCAGTTTAATCTAGAAACATTTTCTTCATATATATAATGTGCTAATATTAACTTCTATGTATTAGTACCAGTGTACAAGAATGATGGACGCAGTGGGATGTGCTGTACTTAACGTTTTGAAGCAGGAGCATCTAATGGAATCTGCTACTGAGGTTGGAACAGTCCTTAAAAATGAACTGATGAAACTTCAAATAAAACATGAACATATTGGTGGGTATCATGGATTTTTTCTTGAAGCATAAGTCTTTTCTAAATTAACAGCATGTTAATACCTGTAGCATTTTCATTCAGTGTGTAAAATATAGAAAACTAAACACAGAAATGAGAATTTCTCAAAAATGTGTAGCTACAGTAGGTATGTCCTGTCTTCACTACTTAATCATATAAATATTTAAAATTTTCTCCCTATATCCCATTCCATTTTTCTGGGCCATTTTTTTTTTTTTCTTTTTTTTCTTTTTAAGAAAACTAGTACAGGTCCACATCCGAAATTATGAAATTATTAATAGTTTCTGAAAAACAAAGTTGTTTTGTGGAGCATCATCATTTCTACATAACTCCAAATGCTGTTACTTGAGCAGGCAGCCAGCACTGACAGCCAGAGTGGGTAAGGCGTAAGTTGTGTCTCAGCGCTATATGTTCACTACGTGCTTCTGCTATTTTGCTGATATTTTGTTTTTTTGCTTTTTATTTTGTGACTGTTTATTTTTCACTGAAAATTGTCAAAAAGAGCTGCAATTACCCATGTTATTACATGTACCATCCACTTACGACCGAGCTTGGACTGACCAACCGATCATAAAGTTCAAAATGGACACAAGTCAAACCTTACAACTGAACATCAACATCACATTTTTGTAATGACTTATTGTTTGATTTTGGTATTCATTTGTTTACTTTACTTTTTATGCTGTTGTATTGTATTTTATACTGAAGGTTTAGATAAAACTGTTACAACACAGTTGTTTATTTCCCAGAAATTTGGCATACAAAACCGGTCGAAGTCGAGGCCGTAATTCGAGCAGGTTGTAAATCAGATGGTAGGGTGTATTAAATGGCCAACAAGAAAGCATGGGTACCCCGTGAAATTTTTCCAAACTGGTTCAATAACCCTTCTAGCTCATTGCAGGCAAGCTGGACTAGAAGAAAAAATAAAAATTTTTATTGCTCCTGGGGTAACTGCTCTGCCATCCCCCTGCCGAACTTCTTGTGAAAAAGTAATGTTATTTCAGCATCTGCTTGCCCTCCCGGGGGGGGCCTAATGTGACATCTGTATTACAGCCTTGTGACCAAGGAATTTTTAACGTTCCATGAAGAGCAAGTATAACGACTATTTTTTAAACGTATGCTTGCTGCAGTCAACAGAGTAATGTAGTAGGAATCCAAGACTTCCTGAAAGAGTTCAGAGTAAGGATGCCATTTATGCATTTGTTAATGTATTGGAAGGATGTTGATAAATCAACAAATAACAAATGTTTGGCACAGACTTTGGCCTAAAATGATTTGATGTAAATGAGACCTACAGATAGACCTTGAAGATTTTGTGTCCACTGATTAGAAGATAACAAAAACCTGTAACTTACGCTAAAAAAGTTATCGATGGAAAGTGAAAATAAGTTACAGAAGCGACATCGAAGAAATGACAAATATTGACAATGATGCACCTGTTTGCATTCCTCGAGTGGATGGTGAAATTGCTGAAATGGGTTAACCCTTTGACTGTTTTGGTCGTATATAATACATCTTACGAGCCAGTGTTTCAGGGGACCGGACGTATTATATGCATAAATTCTAGCGGCTTCAATCAAGCGGAGAAAGCTGGTAGGCCCACATGTGAGAGAATGGGTCTGTGTGATCAATGTGCACCACATTAAAAAAAATCCTGCGGCCACGCAGTGCAAAATGCAGGAAAAAAACCTGACTCTTTTTTTTTTTTTTTTTTTTTTTTTTTTTTTTTTTAAATGCCGACTTTTAGGTGTATTTTCGTAATATATTTATCCATTGTATTCCTCATTTTCAATGGTCCTTCGTGTGATTTAAAGGAAAACATGTTACAGAAATAGAGATGATTTTGACTAGTTTCACAATGAAAACGACCTTGAAATGAGCTCAAAGTGCAGAAATGTTTGATTTTACCAGTGTTCAGGAGATAAGCAATCACACCACCACGTCCAATACATGTCAACTGGGGGTCTAATATTCTTTCACTAGTGTAACTGATATTATTTATACCATTTTTACAATAATGCATATCTGCATAACAGTAAAAAATTTATTTTTGTATGAATATAAAAATAAAAATAGAAAGCAAGAGTAATATAAGAGGGGCTCGAGAGAAATGACAAATGAACAGAGGATATGTGTTATTTTAGTGCCAAGAAATGTCCACATTGTTAATCTGGACCCAATCTTGAAATAGGCATCTTTTTAATTACGCAAAAATTGGCCAAATTGCCAATTTCTGATCCACTTATTTGGGTAGTTCACAATTGGTGAAATGGACTGTTTCTTGATACTCAACTGATAGAAAAAAAATGGAGTTCTAAAGATTTCTATCATTTCAATAAATTTTTTTTATTTTTTTTCCAAAAAATTTTGCGACATAGAATGCGTTTCCGAAAGGGGCTTGTGACAGTCAGAGGGTTTAAAAGAGGAACTACCCCTACAGTTGATCTCAGACTGACATGGCAAGAAAACCACATGTGTTTAGGAGCAGCTCACATAATGCATCAACCAGAACTTTTGCTCAGGACCACGGTATATGAGATCCTCTTCTACATAACCTGGGCCTATGAGCTTTTAGTTTGTAGAACTGTCACTCCTATAAACATGAATCCTGGTCCTCTAAGACTGGGATAATTGTTCTCATACTGTTCAACAGAGTCTGGCCTCCACATAAGATGTTTGAAAGATTCCAGATCTAAACTGTAATCAAGCATGGTGGGCCCACAAGAGATGATGACCTCCTCCCATTTCCTTCATCTCCAGCTGTTTTCTTTCTTCCATGGATTTAAAGGTAAAACTGCATAGCATACCAACCTGGGAGGTTTGTTGCACACGCTTTAGTGGTTAGCTGCCGCACTAACTCTGAACTGAAAAAATAATGGATTGCAAATTTGGTGGTAATTGCAGTGATTGCATCCAAGTGCACCCCAAACCGATGGTAGCACATGCTTTTTAGATCAAGAGTTGTAATTTTGACCATCTACAGAAAGAACAAGAGGTCACAGTTGGTAAAGAGATTTACTAAAAGGCTCAGTCCACATTCTTTTATCCAAAACTCCTTGTGGGGCAATAGTGTTTTCGAGATTTCCAGAATTTTTCGAATTTCAGAATGAAGGTGGGTCTAGGACAGCACCCTATAATCAAACATTAACACTGCAGCAAAAACACATGAATACTCACACTAAGGGGGATAAATGAAGACTACAAATACTACTACAGCTTATTTATAGAGTAATATATTGATAAATGAAGTAATGGGATAATTATAGACCAGGAACATGATTCTCAAGACTATTGACAGACGGTGTTTTTCAAGACTTCAAGTGTCATCCGTCTTATTAACCCTTAAACTGTCCAGACACAGATTTACGTTTACCTGTGTAGCACTCCGACCTTGATTTTCTCCATTTGAAAGCATGTAAAAAAATGTAGATTATGTTCGGAGCCCTACATGAGCGAACGTAGATCTACATTTGGACAGTTTAAGGGTTAAGGTCATACTTTTTTCATACCTCCCTGTTTGGAATCCCCAAGATCAGGAGGAATGAAGATTTAACCAATTGCAGTCTCAGATGAACCTGCTTAAATGCCTGGAGGCTAGTGTCTGTATCTCCAGGGCCCAGCATAATAAATCATGATAGGCCACAGGAACTATGAGGACCCACCCACATATTTGAGACACCCTGATTATTGCTACTGCTAAGTTTTGTGTGGCTGACTGGAAAAAGTACTCTGTCGAAGATGATCTCAGGGTCATATATGTACCTTGATGTGCTGCTGCTCAAGGAATGGATATTAATTTATCTAGGGGCTGGCACAGACGCTGGTGACAGGGCTCTAGATGGTGGTACACTAAAGAGGAAGATAACATTTTATGAAAGATGTGTGCCCTGGCAAAGTAATATCACTGGGAATGAACTGCAGTTGGAGAGGCCAAGGCAGGTGAAATTGCCGACCTAGAAAATGTACAGAGAACTTTCACGGCGCGCATAACGGAGATAAAACACCTTAATTATTGGGAGCGCTTGAGGTTCCTAAACCTGTATTCCCTGGAACGCAGGAGGGAGAGATACATGATTATATACACCTGGAAAATCCTAGAGGGACTAGTACCGAACTTGCACACGAAAATCACTCACTACGAAAGCAAAAGACTTGGCAGACGATGCACCATCCCCCAATGAAAAGCAGGGGTGTCACTAGCACGTTAAGAGACCATACAATAAGTGTCAGGGGCCGAGACTGTTCAACTGCCTCCCAGCACACATAAGGGGGATTACCAACAGAACCCCTGGCAGTCTTCAAGCTGGCACTGGACAAGCACCTAAAGTCAGTTCCTGATCAGCCGGGCTGTGGCTCGTACGTTGGTTTGCGTGCAGCCAGCAGCAACAGCCTGGTTGATCAGGCTCTGATCCACCAGGAGGCCTGGTCACAGACCAGGCCGCGGGGGCGTTGACCCCCGGAACTCTCTCCAGGTAATAGGAGCCAGTTATGAGGCATGCCCATACATGAAATAAACATACAAGATAGCAAGCCATATGGAATTTCAGATGGGAAGGAGTTTTTGACAAGCCAGTGGCTCACGGGGAAACAGTGACTGGGGTTTAGTCCAAATGAACACTAGTCCAAAATTTAAAGTGAGCAACATAGAATGTACGTATGTGTCTAGAGTCTTGTGCATGATTCCTTATGTGTGCCATAAGCTCAGCAGATACTCTGTTAGGAGAAACCTTGTAAATGTCCCAGGAATGATACTCTGAGAACACGAGGTGTCTGATGTACAGTGGAACCTTGGTTTTTGTCATTAATTCGTTCCAGAAAGTGACGAAAACCAAATTCAACAAAAACTGGAGCAATATTTCCTATGAGAAATAATGTAAATCCAATTAATCCGTTCCAGACACCCAAAAGTATTAACAAAAAATACATTTTATAAAGAATAACTACAGTTTTACATACAGAAAACAAAGAAATAAATATAAAGG